GCTGAATTTGTTTTAGTCTGCATACTAGTTGGAAGAAAATCTTAAAATAAGTGTGAAGAAAAGAAACGCTTCTGACCCAGCGTAGAATAACCAATATTTAAGCTAACCTTCTTTTAACTGTCGTTAGAAAGTTCTAGCCTGGCTCTAAAAATTTATTATGAAAAACGGAGAATTTTTTTTTGAAGTGGGATGATATATAATAATTTTATTCGTGTAACGTTTATATTGAATGACTAATAATATTAAAAAGAAAATATTTTGACTGCGCCCGCCATAAATCTAGTCTAATGTTAGAAAATATCATCGGCTAATTTTCAGATTTGGTTAGCATTGTATCAATGGGCGTAAATACACGTGCTGAGTAATAAAAAATTAAATTCCTTTGGATTTTTTTTGAGCTTCACTTTGTAATGATTGATTGTCCCATTATCTGTCTGTTCTAAATACTTCTGAAATGTTGTATATATTAGTTATTTCTTTTTTTTTTTTTTGTTTTTACATTTTATTTTGTCAAATACTGACGTTGATCATCATGTGATGATTATCAATTATGCAGTGATTTTGGTTGATTATGCATCATTGTTGTTATTATTATTGATTAGTATTAATTAAATTTAGAAATGCTTTTTTCCTTCCTAGTCCAAACTTTTGATCAGGAACAGAAACAGGAATGTAGCTGTTGAGTATTGATTCTTGTCATAACATATGCCATTTTTAGTTTTTTCTTACAATACGTCATTTAGAATTGACAAAATTTTTTAAATTAAAAAATTCCAAATTGTCAAATTACTAATACTAATTAACGTGAATGGAAAAAATTCCTGGGAAAAAATACAGGGCCCGGTTCCGGAAAACTGAACAAAAACTTTTAAATAATAATAATAATTGTAACGTATTAAAAAAAGGTCTTTTATTCTTTCTTTAAAAATTCTTCTATAAATTAACGTGATCTAATAATAGTCTACAATTAATTATCTATTCTTAAAATAGTCATTATTTGAAACTTAAAAGCCCTTCTAAATAGGGAGGGATATTGTTACCTTTCAACTGGTTAGTCATGACTGTATAGGATTTCTAAAAAATTATTGTCAATATAATCAATCGTTCTTTTTTATTATATTGTACTATCGTATAAAAAAAAAAGCAAACATGGAGTTATTATGTGTAATAAAGTATATATTTATTTATAAATTTCTAATCAAAGATTATAAATTTTTTCTTCCGCTTATTTTTTTTCACACGAACAATTAACTTTTCAAATTTGAATATATCAAAAAAATGTTATAATAGGTAAATATTGCAAGCATATACCAACACTAAAGATTTCAAAGTCCATTTAGTAGCTTATAAGTTGTGCAGCCTTTTTGTAATGGTGGTAGTAATACCAAAATTTATGAAATCTAATAAAACAAATTTAGGGCAACTACAACCAACAAACTATACACCATATTTAGGCACGAAGACTTGTATGTTTTAACATCGATTTTATTTACGCTAATTTATTTAAGTTGATTGACTTTTGGTTTTTTTTTTGTAGCCAGCTATCACACATATTTTTAACTTTTGATGAACTTAACATGTGTATTTCTTTTCTTTTGTTTAAAGCGTAGGTTATGACTTCGTTGGTCATGATATCATCTTTCCACTGGTAAATTTAATTATTACAAAAACATCATCAAATAAAATTTTATAGTTTTAATCAAATACAAAGTCAAGCTTTTGATTTCCAACCATCTTTGACCTAACAATCTGACTGCCAGCGAAGTTATATGCGGATAGATAGAATATACAAACAGACGACATGCAAATAAAATAGGTAAAACAAAAATTGTCAGAATGTCAAGATTGAAAAATCAATTACTTCGGCAATGATAATAAATGTTGATGAAAATAAAAATATTTTAACATTCAAATGATTTCAATAATTTCAATTACATAATTCTAGCTAATTAATAAAGCAGAAATGAATATTTTAGAAAATATCTAACAATCAATTTTTATCATCGATTAATCCCTACTGTTATTATTTTTTATTTATTTGTTATCCGTTACCATTAATATTCTCAATCCTTACTAACTTCACTTTGTTCCATTTATCTATTTATATGGAATCACTAATACACTAGTCATCAAACTATCAATATATATTTATTGGTATTTATATTTGATAGCAGGAGAAGCAATACCAATAAAGGAATTCAGTAAACAAATCAATAAAAGAATTACATTGGATATTAAAGGGCGTGTGATTCATAACTGTGTGTATTTCATATGTTTGCTTTATTTATTTTTAAATATTCATTAATATTTATTTATAATCACATAATGAAAATAGATTGGTATGGTGATGGTTACAAATGATCGATTATTAAATATCTCATAGGCTAATTAGTATTAACCAATATTAGAAGAAATTGCAGGAAGGGGAACAACAAAACGTAATGGCATGCTATTCATATTAACTATTTAAGAGTTTTTGTGCACTCTAAAAATTATATTTTCTAAATCTTATTTTTTTTTGTTTCCAAAAACTTAAAAACAATGTCAATACGTAAGTAAAATTTTTATACGACTATAATATAATTATTGATGCAATGAATGATTGATATTATGGTTATAATATAATTAATTATTAATATAATGATTGATATAATTATTGTTTTTTTGTATTATTTATGTATATATACATACAATAATAATAATAATAATAATAATAATAATAATAATAATAATAATAATAATAATAATAATAAAATATTATTGCATTATTTTAAATACTATTCTAAACTAAAAAATGGATACAACAAATCTAGTAAATTGTGAAGTCACAACAATACTAAATGACGCATCTCAAATATCGTCGTCGTCGTCATCTGTAGCTGATGCCGATGAAGATCTAATTTCAAAGCTTACACAATTTGAATCGAATTTAATAGGATCAAATGTTATTTATTATATGATTAAAAGAAGAGTAGAACTAGATAGTAAATTGATTGGCAATAAATATCTTTATAATTTAGATTTTCCATTTGAGCAATTGCCCAATAGAGTTAATGACAATGTTAATAGTGGTATAGAATCTAATAATGATGATAGTAAATTATTAATGGGTGATCTTGATAATAGACTTTTAGAAATAAATGATTTTTTGGAAAATAATTGGAGCAAATTTGTAAATTTGAAAATTTTTTCTAAATCTTCTTTTAACGACCGTGATGGTGATAGAAAAAGAAAATATTGTGAAAAGGTTTTTTCTGAATATTTTATGTCAGTAACTGAGTTGGCGGTATTTTTAAAATCTGTACATGATTCGGCTGATAAGAAAGGGAAATTGGATTATTTCTATGCTACAGGGAATTACTTGTTATATATGTTTGCTAAAATATTAAGGCGCCTTAATAATAATAGCTATGATGATAAATTGAAGGGTATTTTCTTGAGTAAATTGTATGTAAAAATTTATTTATTAAATATACATATATACATATATATATGGCTTCTATATTAATTAAACATTGATGTTATACTAGTAAGTTGAGGTTTGAAAAAAGATTAGAAAATACTTTAAATGCTTCGATTGATAAACAATGCGTAATGATTATTAATGATGATGAATTTACTCTAAATAACTTTATTGAGTATCTTAATTTATTCTCAACAAATTCATATAATAACCAAAAACAACAGGATTTCTTTAATAAATTTCATCGAATTATTGACAATGATTTTAGTCAAACATTAATTAATGATAAACTACCGATTTATATAAATGATGAATTTATGGAATTAAGGTTGATTTTTTTATTTTGCTCAATTATTAATTAATAATTTTATTAACTACTACTAGGATTATTCTCAGCGTATATGATTACAAAGGTTATAAAAATAAACCATTGGACGACGAATGTTTTACAAAATGCTTGGAAAGACAAATAATTTTAATTGGTGATTCGATTTGTATCTGTTTAGAAAATATATATATTTATTACAATGAAAAAATAGAAAATGTTTATAATGATAAATCAAAAATGAAAGGTAAAGTTTAAAAAAAAAATTTTTAGTTAATAAATTGATATATAAATTATTCATAAAAATAATTATTAAATAAAATTAATTAAATTAGGAATTTATAAAAAATCCAAGGAAGAGTACAAGAAGTTATTATCGGAGGAAACAAATTAACAAACAGAATGTGGTACGTATACATTTTGTAAATGTGCGCAATGGCATCAACATCACATGCTACAACAACAACTATAACACCTTTCTGCTATTTTTGTGCTTTATCTTTATTACTTGTTATATTATTTTTTTAAATAAATCTAGCTTTCATTCATCATGAACAATCTATCTAAAATTGAAAAAAACGAATAATTCCAAGACAAGTTTGCCAATTAATTATTAACACCAAATGAGACTTTTGATTAAATATATGTTTCACTTGACTCACGAACGCACTTCAAACATTTGGTTGTATGAAAATCTATAATCTATAATAACTTAATTGACGATCTGCAACATCCCATCACGTGATAAAATTTAATATTTATTTTCGGTTTTTTTTGAAAAAAATCTAATTACACTTTTCTCGCATAAAGCACTTATAGTACTTTTTTAAAGGTTTTGGACTTTTGATATGATTTCGAGGTTTTAAAATAGTTTTATAGCCATTTAATAACAAATTAAGATTAGCCGGTAAAATTTTTGGTTCTTTTTCATTTTCATCATAGTTATCAACTCATTCAACAGTTTTAAATGGCAAGTCTTCCAAAAGATAAAGTCCAAATTTGCTTAACCGGGATTCGGTATAACGCATGGCTGCGGCCGGATCACCATCTCTTGAGCCCCAGTTTCCTTGACCGTCAACCAAAGGATAGCGAAAACTAAAATCTTGAGCCATTTTGACCATTGCTTGGTAATAACAACAAAATGAGTGTATAATTATTTTTAATTGAGTTTCTATATTATTCAAATTATTCCACTATGCTTATATTATTACTGTTGATAACATAGAGGGATTGGCTGATGCATAATGAAATTGATTGGATAATTTTATTACTACGCTGATCACCACTATTAAATTTTTTTATATCAAAATGCTAGATTGAAAACTTCTATTGCCATTGTAACAAAAAAAATAATAAAATGCACCTATAGTTTGAAGCAACACAAATATAATTTCTCTAATCATAATATCATCTAAAAAATTATATCCCCATTTGAATTGAATATTTTATTTGTAAAAAATATATTTACAGAATGTTGAAAGCTTGCATTGAACTTTGCGACTTGTAATTACATTATAACTTATAAAATCACACTATTAATCCTTTTGCCTAATGAAAAATATTACAAAGTTAATAGGATGCTCATTTATTCAACACATTTGCTATTGTAATACATTAATTAACTATAATAAAGCATAATAATAATATTCATACCTTCCTTTGATCTAGTAGATCCAAGCATGTTGCAATCATTTCTTTATATTGTAAAACTAGAAATAATTTTCCAAAGTGTAAGAGTTTATAAACATACCTTTAAACATGTTAGTTCACTGTTTTTTTTTTTTTTGCTGAATTTGTTATAAATATATTACTTTTTTTTGAATGTTTGGAAATATTTCTCATCCAACTTATGAATTACTTTACCTTTTATCAAATTATTTTTGACAGTAGAAGGTAATGGGTTGGAGTATTTGCACAATCAATACCAAATTGAATTAAAGTCAGATGATGGTCAGTTTGTATGTGTGTGTAATTAATGCATATCATTTCTCAAAATTAAATGCCTTCTATGTTACTGTCGATGACGTTAATTATTTGTCCATAGCTTTAGAAGCTACCTCTTGACATTCTCTATCAATTCTCGTTTCCTTGTTTCATTTTTCATTTTTAAATATCGCTTAAAATTGTCGTGTGAAATTTTGGATAGTATGCACTCTGCATAATCAAGTAAAATTACTGGTTAATGTATCACTACATAGTTGATAGTTATCGCGTGATCAACATTAAATATTTATAAAAAAGGAAATTATATAACCTTTAACCTTGATATCACCTTGATATATATAACGGGTAAAGATGATTTTGTAATAACGGGATTGAAAATAATTTTGCTTTGACCATCTAGAAAATAAAAGATACTGTGACTAATTCACTCTCATTAATTCCGATGTATATAAGATCTAGATGATCGT